TTATTGGTGACGAGCGTGGTCACCAATCAGAGCGTGTATTCCCATTGAGCCTTATTCTTGGAAGGGGGTTTGCACTGTCCCTCCATCTTCTTTTGATGCTTTCTGCATCATTCAATCATTTGCCCAGAGACTCCTTCAATAGCACCTTGCGGAGTGGAAATCTGCGGTGTTTTCAAGACCGAGTTGCTTTCATAGCAATATTTACAGTCCTGGTGATTGTCCAGCAGAACCTGCCCCCAGATTGCAACTGAGGACAGAACCTCAGAGCCAAAAGGGGCAACCTGTCCAGGGTAACCCAGCGGGAGGGGGTTATGGGAGGTATGTGTGTGGTGAGGGTGACTTAAGGCTGGTCCCTGCCCTCCAGCCTTAGACATGGGAAAGGAAGGTCAGTGATTCAAGGAGAGGACAGCAGTGGAGGAAAGCTGAGGCTTCCAGGTTACACCCCTCTCATCCTTGCCTGGCATACACGTGGAGCAGGGAGGCTCCCCTCCAGATTAAACACCCATTCTCTCCTTCATTTTTAGGCAACTATTACGCCCGAAACAGGTGCAGGACTCCCAGCAGCATGCCGCGGTCAATTAAGAAACTACTTTCTAAGCAAAAGTGGAACGCTGAGAAGTTGCCCTCATAAAAGCAATGGTAAACCGACATCAATGCTTTCAGAACTCTGGAAGTTTAAAGGCGAGCAGCATCTGGTGGTGTTCATTAAGAAAAACAGCCACATTTCGGTCAGAACATCAAGCTTCCCGCATTTTGGCTTTCTTGAATCTCATCCCTGTGTGGTTGTTAAGTGCTGTCAGGTTGGTTCCGACTCACAGCGACCCTTTTATAGGGTTTCTGAGGAGTGGCTATGAGTTCGAACTTCTGACCTTGTGGTTCAAACTGACCTTGCGGTCCAGCAATTCCATCCCTGTAGTAAAACCCAAAACCAAATTAATTACAGTCCAGTCTATTTCAATCACAGCAGCCCCACAGGGTCTCCAAGACCGAGATCTTTATGGAAGGACACCACCACATCTTTCTACAGATGACCGATGGAGTGCTTAACCAATGAACCACCAGGGCTGGGCTCAGCAGGAGCCTTGGAAAACAACAGCCCACGTTCCCTGTACTTCAGGGAGGAACACAATCTAACTCACAAAGCATTGGCACAATTTAATCTGACTGGTGGCCCCATGGAAAACCTCATGTACAAGGCTGACTCAAATGTCTTGGGTGCCAGCAGCATTCTCGCTGAGGCAAGTGTTTCAACTTCATAGCTACTTGAAATGATGCACAACACTGTAAGTGCAACAAAAACTAAAAAGAAAAGCTGGGGAATGAAGTCTACATGTAAATGTTGTTGTGAAGTGGTGTCAAGTTGGTTCAGACCCACGATGTTGCTGTTAGGTGCCGCCGAATGGGTTCCGACTCATGCACAACAGAACGAATGAAACACTGCCCAGTCCTCCACCATCCTCACAATTGGTGTTACACTTGAGCCCACCAATGCTGTCAGTGTGCCAATCCATCTCATTGGGAGTCTTCCTCTTTTCTGCTGACTCTCCACTTCGCCAAGCATAATGTCCTTTAACAGGTACTGGTTCCTCTTGATAATGTGCCGGAAATATGAGAGACAGAGTCACGCCATCCTGCCTTCTAAGAAGCGTTTTGGCTGTACTTCTCCCAACGCAGATTTGATTGTTCTTTTCGCACTCCACAGTAGTTTCAATATTCTCCTCCAACACCATAAATCAAATGCATCAATTCTTCTATGGTCTTCTTTATTCATTGTCCAACGTTCACATGCATATGAGGCTACTGAAAATACCATGGCTTGGGTCAGGCATCTCTTAATCCTCAAAAGTCAACATCTTTGCTCAACACTTTCAAGAGGTCTTGTGCATCAGATTCGCTTAATGTAATACATCCTTTGATTTCTGTCTGCTGCTTCCATGAGTGTTGATATTGGATCCAAGCAAAATGAAGTCTTTGACAACTTCAATATTTTCTCCATTTATCAGGATGTTATTTACTGGACTAGTTGTGAGGATTCTTGTTTTCTTTACATTGAGGTGCAACCTATACTGAACACAGTGGTCTTTGCTCTTCATCAGTAAGTATTTTAAGTCCTCTTCAGCAAGCAAGGTTGTATTATCTGCACATCACAGGTTGTTAATGAGTCTTCTTCCAATTCTTATTCCAGGGTACTCCTGAAATAACCCAGTTTCTCGGATTATTTGCTCAGCATACAGATTAAATAAGTATGGTGAAAGACTAACACCGGTGCACATCTTTTCCAACCTTGAACCATTCAATGTCCCCTCTTCTGTTTGTACAATAATTGTCTCTTAGCCTATGTACAAGTTCCTCATGG